AATCATGTACGAAAAAATATATTAATTTATCCCATGTTGAAATTTCTCTCCGTTGCGTGTCGCTTCGCGTTGAATTTTCGTCGATGTTAAGCCTAACGAAGACTATTGTATCGTTAAAAATTATTTTTTTATTTTGTACAAACAAAATAAATATATTGAAAAATATAAAAACAATAAAAAATTATACTTCAGATGTTAATTTAGTATCAGAAACGTAAAATATTTGAGTAGCCCAAGACATAGACAAAGATTGAAGCGCCACAGCACTGGCGAAAATTTAAATTTGCTGACTGGAATTCTTTCAGATGATTGACGTTTCGGATGATTGACTTTCGGAAAATCGACGCTCTACTGTACTTCAAAATTTTCATAAATACTTGAAGATGACCTGTGGAGCAGATAGAAAACGTTAGTAAGATAATAAATTTTAATTCTCGGATACATAAGGTGCTTGTGTCATAAGTATATTTAAGGAGTCTGAGTGTTTATTGTAATGTAAAAGATAATTTTTAAATAAAATCTCTTACGCAGGGAAAGTTACACAGCTCGTTGCTGGAATTTTTTTTTTAGTTATGTAAATGAATAATTTTGTGCATGTAAAGATTCTTTTCTTTGACGAATAAAATGAATAAACTTATAACGATTCTAGAATAGAATGAATCATTTCACCGTATTGCAATAGACGAACATAGTCAAAATTTTAAAGTTTATTGCAAGTAATTGGTCAAAAAATAATAAAGTAATTAACTATACTCACAAAATAAATTATTTAAAATCTTATTAATTTCTGCCTAATGTTACCAATATTACACAAAGCTAAGATACCTAGGATAATGTATAATGAAAAAGTCATTATTAAAGACTACATGTTGGGCTCAAATATTGAAAATAAATCTATCGATATATTCTGACGATAAAATGTGATTGAGGAATTTTAATAGAATCACATCAATGTACCATCTTGAAATAAAGCAAACAAATTAATGGTAATATCGCATTATATAAAATCTTAAGATAGAACTTGATAATGTAATTTCTTATGTTTTGAAGCTAGATACAGTAAAAAGCCAGAAACACTTATAATAATTTAAGAAGACGTTAGATCTGACTATTTTATAAGTGATATATCATGAACAAAATAACTTACAGCCCTGTTTGTATGAGTTGCTTTCTAAGACCCTGCTGGACAACTGCTTTCATCTACGGTTTACAACTTCACACATTTTGTAACTGTCAAGTGAACGACATCATTTTTCCAGACAATATCAATTTTAGGAATAAATATATTCGATTTGTCGAACTGCTTTTATGGGAGCATGCCACTCATTTATCGTGGCAAGCAATCCATGCCATTTGTGAAGATTGGTACAAATTACTCGGCAATCCTTTAGAATTAAAGATCGGCATCAATGTTATTCAGTTTCATGAAAAGCAGGAACTTCACAATGATAGAAAAATTAAGAAATAAATTTTTTCTAGAAAAATGTTCAACGAAAGAAATCTTATAATGAAAACTGTTAACTTTACAGCTTTTTTCAATTATAATGGGTATTTCAATAATATTTCTATTTCTAAATGCGAATTTCATCTATAGAGTCATATAAAAAGTAGAGAAATTCCAGGGAGAGGCATTTTTTTTTTTTGTAGCATCGAAGTCGGATTGGCGCTCAACATGTTTATTGGTGGAATTATATATGGGATATTGCTATTGTCGATGAAAAAGAATTTGAACATCTTCAGCAGGAACTGTCGACGATAAGAAGACATGACATAAATCTAAAGTGGAAATTGAAGAAATTTATGACGAGTCACGAAGAATTGTGGCTTTTCAAAGAACAGTTCAAGAATAAAATGAATTACGTATTGACATTTTACTTTGGGATCACCTACGGAACAAGCTGTTTCTATTCATTTCTCTGCATAGAAGTAAACGATATTATCAAGTTTGTAATGTTTACATTGCTTGTCGTTTTCACTCTCATTTGCATAATTTGCGCTTGCTTGTTGTGTTCGTTTTTATTTATGGTAAAATCTGTTATTCATTAAAAATTAACCTAAATGTATCTTAGTTGATTACAATTTTGTTTGTATTACAGATGTAGAATTCTTTACAGGACATAAGACAATTTGTGGAATTTGATCTGGCAGTGGAACAAGAACTAAAAGTATAGTCTTATATGATACTGTAAGTTATTACTATAATAAGATTATTTGTGTATTAAGAAATATCTACAATTGTATAGATTCTTGATTTTATGAAGCGATTCGGGAAAGTTTCCTTGTATCTTTCTATCGGTGGTTTCTACGAAGTTAATAAGAAAATTCCTTTGAAGGTATCATAATTTATAAATAAAAATTAAAATTCTCCATAAATATTCTGACTAACATGATAAGGCTATATTCTTATTCTTT